TCGGGAAAATGTTTCCATTGCTCCAGTGGGTGTGTTCCTCCCAGGCCAAAGGCCCCTCTCCAATCTAATTCTCCTCCCCACTTTGTTAATCATTGTAAGAAGTTCCGTCTACCATACTGATGATATGATGAAGACCTCATTTAGTTTGGACGGAGTTTGTTGGTAACAGAAATGCTAGAGGAAAAAAAAATCTTTACTTTGAGCCATCAGGATGGTTCTCCTCCCAAAATTTCTAGAGATTCTGAAGCCCCATTTTCCCATGCCACTGGTCACCGAGTGTCATGGATCCATGTCTTCTCTCGCCTGTATTTGTCCATGATCCAGCTATAGGTGATGTGCATTTGATATACTCTTATGCTAGAGAGCATGGACAATAAAACACTATCAGTTTCCTTACTTTCTTGTTGATGAAGAAATTAAGGAAGCTGATATTGATGACAATAAGTTTGTTGAATTTCCACATGGATAATAGTTGTTCTATCAACAGTTACCCGGGGAGAATGTAGTTACAATGGTGTTTTCCTGTTCGAAATCAAAGGAAAAATTATTTCTGTTTTGCACACCCTTTCTCTGTAAGACCCAGCTTCCGCCTTCCACGTCGCCCCTAATCAGACTCCTGAGCCAAAAATAGAAGCCCTTTGCTACTCGCTGGACCTGGCTCAGTGCACCCATCCTATCAGATTACCCGACTGAGTGCACCAAGGCAGGCAGGGCACCGAAGCCTCAGCTGCATCTTTGTCAGATGGAAAAACACAGTGAGCACAACCTGAGTTCATAGTTTCATAAGGCACAAAACAGAGAAAGGGTTCTTTGGAGAAACTTCCATGCCCACTGGGATCCTAAGCAGGAAGGTGAACCATTCTCTGGGGGAAATGTCCAAAATGCAACCGGATTAAACACAAATTAACAACAAAGCTTAGAGCCAGAAGGGAAAAGAGGGCCTGAAGCAGGAGTGTGGTGCTGAGACTCTAACAGACTCAAAGGATGCAGAGGTGTCCGGAGTTTATCGTCAAAAAAGTCAGGGTGATGGTCGCAATGGCACAACCGAAGCTCTGCCCATTTTTATATGCACAATCATGACTGCCATCTCCACCTTTTGACCATACACTGTGTGCAAGCTCTTTTCAGGCACAAAAGGTAGGGAGTTTATGAATTTAATGTTGGATATATTAACATACATTTTAAACAAATAAATGTTCAGTCTCTGAAGGGGGAGGGTGGTCCAACATCCCAGAAATATTCTGCCCCTTTGACATTTCAAGCATTTGCACAAGCCCACCTGGGTGAGCCTTGTGTGCAAGCTGCAGGGTAACATCCTTTGCACTCACGGTGTGCTCCTACAAGTGCTGGCAGGCCAAGATTTGAAGTGTAAATGAGATTTCCAGAGAGCAGAAAATGGAAAGGGAAAATTGAAAGCCACAGGATGTCACTTTCATTCTATTCCTATAATTTCTTCAATTTCCACTGGGTGGAGGTAAACATCTTACATCAGTGTGGATCGCCAGAGCACCTACCAGAGTCTCGGTAGAAAATTTTCCTTCCACTGTCTCGAGAAAAAAATAATAATTTCAAAAACATTTGAGTAAATTGTGGCTAGATACACTTCGTGGCCAAAGAATCCTTGTGGTGGTTCTGATTTCTACCTTTTGGGATTATGAACTGAAGACCCAAATGGTTTTGACAGTTACCTAGAAAAAACATTAACTGTATCTACTGAGGTCTGATCTACAGAAAAATCAACCAGAGAATCTTATTAATACATGTCTACCCTGCTCTGCTTGCCCAATACGGTGGTTTACAACAGCATAAAGGCAATGTCTCTTTCAGACTGAACTTGACTTCTTCCTCCTAAATGTATACACACCTCAGGGCTTGCATTGCATGATTTTTCTTCAGAGCTTTGAAAGCTCCTCATTGAGCTCTTCAGTCTTCTCACAGTAGGCCTGGTTTTCTGTCTTCATCTGCTCAAAGTCCATTTAATGCAAACCTTCTGCCAGTTCTTCTTGGCAGTCTTAGACTTTTGAATCCTAGCTTTAATTTTATATTTTTTAAGATGAATCTTTGTTACAGGCGCTCCCAGGCTCAGCTTATGGTCACTCACTCACAGCTTGTTCAGGCTTGTAAGCGCCCCTTGCTTTCAGCTTGGGTTCTCCAGAGAGCAGACAAGACACACAGCCCCGGGCAACAGGAGGGAAATAATTAGGGACGCACACACATCACTTTCCACCGAACACTGAGGCACAACAGGTTCTTCGGAATACACGGAGAGACCCAGTGAATTTAGAGTAACAGCAAAACTTTACTGGTTGCAAGGTACATTTGTTCTTTCTCACACACACACACACTCATCCACACTTACCCATATCCTTCTCAACTAGGCTACCAGGCACTAGCTAGAAAGATGGACCGGGACCCAAAGACAACTCAAGGTGTAGGCGAGCTTCAGGATCCCTTTCATCCCCCAAAGTCCTTGCATTGTTGATTCACAAGACTGGCAACCACTTTTGCCTTATTAATTTGCAAGTCTGATAGCTGTTGATGGGATTGGGGATGGTCAACTTCCTTTGTCTGGTTCAGGTGACATTTTTTCCTTTGTTTCCTTCTTATCTACCTCCTCTAAAGGATCTTTTAGATAAGATTCCTGGCTTTTCCTCCTCTCTGCTTACCTGCCTGCTTTCTCTTTTAATTATAGCAGCTTCAGCCTAGTCTCACACCTTTGCCATCTCCCTTCTCTTGTTCTGCTTTCTAGCTTGGATTTTGCCCACTTCCTTGATGGCAGCATGTCTATCCCCCAGTGTGCCCACTCCCCGCCACAGCCCATGTATACAGCCAGCTCCTTGACTGCCGAGCAGATCTTCTGTCCACCTTGGCCAATTTTTGATTGCTGGATTGCTGGAGAGCACCCCTCTGTTTCTGGAACCAAGCCGTTTTCTCTGCCTGCTAGTTCCACAACTCCCCAGGGCAGTAGTTGCTGCAGTGCTGCTCCTGATGCTTGGGATATCTAATACTTCCTGATATTGCGGCGGCTGCCCTCTGGAAAGAGGTTTCCCCTGAGATCTGGGCAGCCCCTAACCTGCTGCTGTTTTGGAGGGCTTTGAAGACCTGGCACTTTGCCCAGGCCTTTGGCTAGACGGGTGCTGCCCCTTCTGAGGAGTAGGTGTGTTTTGTTGCTACTGAGGCGGGGGGGTGTTGTCCTCTTTTGTTCCTTGTTTTTATTATTCTGTTTTTTTATCTGTGTTCCACTACTTCCCAGAGTTGTTGGGAAGTATATACATTTAATAAAAATTAAATGTGCTGCTCTAGCTCTGGCCCTTGGCTTTGTTCGAGAGCCAGCCAACTTGTCCTGCAACTTTGTGTTGTAGCGGCAGAGATGGCTGTCTGATCCTGTCCCAGGAGCCCAATTAGCTGCTGCTCTTTATCAGCCGGCACTGCTCTGTCCGCTCCTCGGTCTCTTCTTGCTCTCTGAGTGCCACTGACAATTAAGGAGCAACTGCTTAAGTGCCTCCGCACCGGCTCCCAGAGGCTGTGGCTGATCGGCAGCCCAGGCCCACCCTCGCTTGCAGTGGAGGCAGCTCCTCCAGTTCTCTCCCAGCGAAGGAGGTGCTGGGTGGGCTCTCGCTGAGGGATGCCCTGGGGGGAATCCTTCTCCAAGCTCTTGTCTCTGTCTCCAAAGGAGGGTCAGTGGCAGGGACTCTTGCCCCGGCTCCCTCTGCTTCTCCTGGCCCTTCGCTCAGGCTGCTTCCTCCAGCGCTTTTCTCCTCTGGCTGCTGCCTCCTTGGCCACGGGGGGGGGGGGGCACTCTTCAGAATCTCTGCTGCCCCCATATCCGCAGGCAATTCCTGTAATTGTGGGGAAATCAGGATGGTCTTCCTGTGCCTCGAAGAGGGTCCTCCTCCTCCTCCTCCTCCAACTGCAGGTCCACTCTCTTCTCTCCCGAGTGACACATTTCCTTGGCAACAATCCCCAGATGATTTCCCACTGCCTTCTTCTGGCCTGCTTTTCAACTTCGTCATTCAGCCCTGGGCTTTCCTGGTGGTCTCTCATCCAGAGACTGATCCGGTCTAATGCTGTTTAGTGCTGCCACCCTGCTGGGTGGTTTGCAACAATAGAGCACCAAACCAATCCCACATCCAGACGCCACATCTACAAGGCAGGACGCGGCCCGGGTTTGCCTCCTTCGCGGTGGGGATGATGGGAATTGTTGTCCCAGCCATCCCCAAAAGGCTCATTTCCCCAGTATCTGCCTGTTGGCGGGTTGTGTATTGAAGTGGCAACTGGCATGTCGCTTGTAAATGTCCCGTCCTCTTATCTGTATTGATTTGCAGAAGACAGACGCTGCCTCGGCCCACCTGGACTCGAGGCCCCTCAGACTCCGCGCCTCGACAGCGAACGAGGCGAGACGACTCCAACGAAGGGCGGGGAAAAACGGTCAGCGGCTTTTATAGGCTCCGGCTCTGTCCGCTCCCGGCCTCTCCCTCTCAGGCAGCCAATGAGAGAGCGCGCTACGTGACAGAAAGGGAAAGTGGACTGTTGGGGGGGGAGAAAGACATGAGAGCGCTGATTGGTCCACTGGAGGAAAAAAACCGAAAACGAACGTCCCAAAGGTGAATGCGAGTGTAGAGAAAGGAGAGAGGCCAGGGTGCAAAAACGTCTGCACGTGACTTCAGAGGCGGGCCAATGGAAAGGTGCGTCTTCAGTGACGTTCTTGGTCTTGTCGCCGCCCCGCCTCCTTGGTTGAATAGAGAGACGAAAAGGAAAAGAGTCGTGCGCGGTTCAGAAATTGGCCGTCCGGCTTCTGTTTATCCCAGAAAAAGAGGCCAGGTGCAAATGCCCGTAAACGCAACTGAGAAATCAACGAGAAAGGCCAAGATTTGTCCACTGACTCCAGCGAGAGCGGCGGAACAGGTGAGGTGTGCCCGTTTCCTTTCGTATCTCTGTAAGCGAGGGAGCTTCCGCGATAGAGATGCCGCGGGCTAGAGCGCACCGACCGAAACGCGGCTTGTCTGCCCTTCCGGAAGTTGCGGCTGCTGGGAGCGTCCCGCACGATGGTGCGGTTCAAGAACCGGTGAGGCTTCGACGGGCGGCGGGGGGGAGGGATTGGCGCGCCGGGGCTGGCCGCTTTCCCATAGGGGCTGGAGCGCGCGGTTGCGGCGGGCACGCGGCGCCGTCGCCCGGGGGCACGCGGCCGGCCGAGACAGCGGCTGCTTTCCCACGACGCGTGGAAACGCGGGTCGAGCGCGTCGTGCGAACGCGCCCGCGCGCTTGCTTACGACTCCGCGTAACCCGGGCTAAGCCCGCCCGGCCGGATCCGAAGGGCAGCTGGGCGTCTCGGGCGAACGCGGCCAGTCCGAGCTGAGCCTTCGGATGCGGGCCTGGCAGGGGAGGGAGGACCGCTTTGCTTTCCTCACGTGTTTAAAGCTGATCTGGCCGGCTTTTCTGCTTGGAAAGCGCTGACGGTGTGTATTGGGAGGCTCTTCCCGGTGCAGCCCTGAGACCCCTTCATTGAAAACAGCGTAGAAATGTTTCAGGTAAATAATATCGCTGGCCAAACGAAGCTCTGGCTGGCTGGCAACAGATCCCCAGGTTCTGAATCAGCCTCTGCCAAGGGCAGGGACTGGCGCTGCTGTCCGCAGGCTCAGCTGTTAAACAAAGCGTCTGTTTACACGTGTCTGCCAAATCCTGTGAAGAACACAGTGCAGATTTGAGCCTAGGCGCCCCGGTCTTCGTCTGGCCTGGAAGTCATGCAGGCGTTCTGCTGTCCAGCTGCATAAAATATGGGCGGCCTCAAGAAACCTTTCTTTGATCTTCTGCCTGCTCTGCTTTTCCAGGTACTTCCTCTGCGAGATCATCTCCGAGGACCCTCGCTGTCGGCAGCTCATCGAGGAGCGCGTAGTGCATAATGCGGTGAAGAATGCTGTCGCACGAATACATGGAGACTTTGGAGTAGCCTGTTGCTCCATTGCTTTTTCAGGTCTGGTGTCAAGTCCACAAAGTCCAAACCCCAATTTAGAAGAATCCTCGTGAAACCAGGCCTGGTTCAGATAAATGCTCCTTTATTAGGTGGTACATGCAGCTTGAAGCAAAGCATTGCTAAAACTAAAGCCTGTGTAAAGTTCCCTCTACTTATTCCCCCCTTGCTACATTGGTGCCAAATTTCTTTCTCACAGGATGGTGGCCTTCTACATTCCTCCCATTGATAACACAGTTCCTCCCAGCCTTCAGACTACCACTGGTTTTGTCTGCATTTAAGTCTTGCTGTAAATTCCCATATCAATGTAAGCGCCTCTCCATCTCAAACAGGATGGTGGCCTTCTACATTCCTCCCATTGATAACACAGTTCCTCCCAGCCTTCAGACTACCACTGGTTTTGTCTGCATTTAAGTCTTGCTGTAAATTCCCATATCAATGTAAGCGCCTCTCCATCTCAAAGCAAACCCCAAGCACAACTATTAACTACCATTCCCCCCCCCCCACACACACAAATGGCAGAATCAAATCAAGCAAACACCCACTGATTGCTATAGCTTTTTTAAATTGACATTTGATTGATGGAGGTTCTGACATGTGGTTTCCAGGGCTTTGCCGGTGCACAGTATGCTGTATGCTAGAATGTGTGGCTGCTCCTAGTAATAACAAATGATTGAGGCCCAGTTGAGAATTACATCAGTGTGTGGCAAAGGTCTAGTTCAGCCTTCTCAACACATTTGGGAGATGTCTTGTCAAGGAAGGTTTCTTTTGTTAATGCTTGAATTTGCTTAAGGAAAAAAATATATACAGGTAGTCCTCAGTTAACGATGGCAATTGGGACTGGAATTGCCATTGCCATGCAACGCAGTCATCAAGCGTGATGTCATGTGACTGTGCTGCTTAGCAACGGCAATTCCAGTTGCCATTGTTAAGCGAATCAACATGGGTTGTTAGGCGAAGACATCATGTGGTCACCATTTGCAACCCCCTGCCGGCTTCTCTGTTGAATTTGCTTCTCGGAAGCTGGCAAGATTACAAATGGCGACCACGTGACCGTGGGACCCTGCGATGTAATCATGAGCCAGGTGCCGAGTGCCCAGATCATGATCACGTGACCATGGGGACATTGCGATGGCTGGAACACCAAGCACTGGTCGTAAACACCACTTGTTCAGCACTGTTGCAAATTTGAATGGTCACTGAACAAGTGGTCATTAAGCGACTATCTATATTTGAAAATAACATATAATTGGATAACTTGCTTTTCTTACCTCTTATGTAGTTCCTCCACAATGCTGTAGGTGAACATGTAGGTGGTTATTTTGTTCCCACAACAATTCTTCAGGGGAGGTTGGGCAACCAGTCTGAATCCGTCTGATAAGTTTCACGATTGAATGGAATTTTATCTTTGGGCTCCACATTCCAAACATAATTTTTCTTCATTGAGCTGGCAGGTTGTTGTTAGAACAGGTTTGCTGTTGTATTTTCAAGGATGTCTGCACAACTGTAAAAGTGACTAAAGGAAGCCACAAGTCTTCTTTAAGGGAGGGAAACCATTGCATGCTGGTCATCCCCCCACCTCCCCTTACTAGACTGGGAAGCAACCAGATCCTCTTCTGTTTCCCTCTTCAGTAAAGTACCTCAATGCCTACACGGGAGTGGTTCTCTTCTGCTGCCGGAAGGATTTTTATCAGCTTTTGTGGTCATCGCTTCCCTTCATTACTCACTTGGAAAACAGGAGCCAACACTGCCCCTGTTCTTTTAACACACTTCATGTTGGAGGTAAGCCTTCTCTTGTAACAGTCTGCATTTAACAATGCATCTTTTTTAAAAAAATTGTGCAGTGAAATCTCTTAATGTGAATAGTATGATTTATTCATACCATGTTCATCTTTGCCAGAAGTGAAATCATTCAGAGCCTCCTCCCAATAAATGTGGGTAGCAGCAGCTGTTGTAAATGCAGTGGGGTACAGGTAGTCCCCAGGTTAAGAATGCCAGGGTACAGACGACCCATAGATAAGAACAGAGCCTGTTTGTAGCAACATTTGAGTGAAATACACGATTTGAGTTAAATACGTACACAGTGGTTTGAGTTCATGACACAATGCTATTTATACAGTATTATACAATAATACTGTTCTGGCTTACATACAAATTCAACTTAAGGACAGACCTTGGGAATGGAACTTGTTTTTAAACTGGGGACTACCTGTAAACAGATGTGTTTTTTTTTAAATAAAAAATCTACACACTTTCCATAATGCCACAAACTCAGTATAACAATCAAATTTAAAAATAGAAGGTTGAAATGAAAAAAAGAAAGGTTGGTGTAGTGGTTCAGGACACTGTATTAGAAATGGGAGGTAGCCTTAGGCACAAAGCCAGCTGGGTGACTTTGGGCCTGTCACACACTCTCAGACCGAGGAAGAGGGCAAGGGTGAGCTCCTTCCAAAAATGTTGTCAAGAAAACTGCATGGACTTGTGCAGGCAATTGTCAGGAGTTAAGATTAACTCAAAGGCACACAGGTCATGGGAAAAAAAGTGAGAGTTTCCCAAGATCACCTCCTAAGATGTAGCCTTCCGGGATGAACATCACCATCTTAGGGCTCAAATTCCCTTTCTGTGAGGCAACTCAAAAGGATTCCGTGATGGGGGCTATTGTCAACATCAAGAATTTTTTTTTCCTGGCACAAGTTGTCCACAAGTATGACTAGTGGAGTTTAGCTCTTGGGGCCACCCTGAAATTATGCTCAAAGCAGTTCAGAAGAATTACTTTCTCTTGCACCAATATTGGGCAATAGTTATGCGTACATCTTATTTCTATGCTAAAATAGAATGCACTTAAATATTCTAAACTAAATTCTGGATTACATAAATAGTAAATATTTCAGTCAATAGATGGCAGCAGAGATACAGAGAACATTAACATTTTGCTGGCCTCTAGTGGCTATCTGGATTTTTGCAGCACAGATATTGTACCCGTAACAAGTTAAGGAATTGTGCACAAGTTCTAAAGGTTACATCAAGGGCCTTAATATAATCTCCATTTCTTGCTTATCATGTGAATTCTGCTAAATGGGCAACAAGAATGGCTCATTGTGGTTTGCTCTATTACTTCTTCTATTGTGTCTCCTTCCACATATTTGGTGCCCACAAGTGCCACAAGATTCCTCTTTGATGAATACTGGCAAAATTTCCTGCTACAATTTGTTTCCTGGCTTTTTAAAAATCCATTACCTTGAGCGAATATTTAGGCTGCAAGTACTTCCTTGCCTGCAGAGTGCTGATCTCTTCCTTTTCTGCCACTAGCAACAATACGCAGGTGTCAGAAATTCCTCATTCAGTACAACAAGGACCAGCTGCTGCTGCTGTTACGGAACTGTACCAATGAAGGTAATTAATAGCAATGTGGAATGTCGGCATACCCCCGAGCAAAGTGCGAGCCTCTAACATAATCTTCGTTTATAAGAACTTCTCTGAGTCCCAAGCAAGACCCATAAGCTTTCAGAGAAAATGAAAACGAAGGGTGGGGAAGTGGCAGGACATAGTTTGGTAAATCAGTGCTTGGTAACTTTGTTGTACGTAGTGGCAGCTCTTTTGAAAAAAATATGAAATCATCATCCAACCCAGGAATTTTGCAGATCTCTGTTAGAGGAAGGTAGACCTTCGTATGTCTCACAGCTAGACCAAGATCAGAGTGCCACATAAAAAGAGAGTGAATCTAACATTACCAAGAACTTGTCACTAATTACCTAATTTAATTACCAAGCACTAGGGCTTCATAGGACATTGGCCTTCTTCCCCTCACTTTCTGACTATTTTGTCCAAATGGGCTGTGGAGTTTTTTTCTTTAAATCAAATCCTGTGTATTTTTTGAATGAAGGTTGAATATCGCCATTCCACAGTGGGAGTACTGAAAATCTATATGGAACACCAGCTTCCTGGAAATCTCAATGTTTTTCTTCTAATTTCTAGTCCCTGATACCCAGAAAGTTAATCCAGATTGTGTATGAGCAGTCAAAGCCTGCTAAAGCTCAAGGGGGACAGCCGTTTTGTTTTCTGTTGCACCAGGTGCTTGAACCCTAGGCCGATGGGTTCAGACAATCAACAAGATTGGATGGAGAATTATGGGAGCTGCAGTGCAGGTTGGGGAAGGAATGCTCTAGAGATACTCCATCACCATCATCTAAACTAGAGGGGGCTACTGGAAGATGAGGAGTCATTTATGTGTAAATGAGGGGTCTTTCAAGTTCCTTTCACTTGTTTTACCAGCTGATAGAAAAGCCATCCAGAAGTCGGTTCAGAGCTGTGCGCTTGTGGGAGTGGAGCAGTTCCAGAGTGAAGATGAAGAGAGCGAGGAGAACGTGGAGATGGACTGAATTACATCACCCCTGAGATGGTTAGGCGAGGAGATGGGTTGCGTGGTTGTCACTGGCAAGGATCAGTATTTCTTCCCCCATTTTGTTTTTCAGGGTTTTTTAAATCTGTGCTAACAAAACTAGCTGAAGTGTTTAGTTCTTTCCCTGTTCAGCTGTGTGTGTGTGTCACATAGATCTGCCTCCCACAGGTCTCTCTATTCCTGTTTGCATAAGTGCAGGGGAGGGGTGGGAAGGCTTTTGGCCAGAAAAAGTATTGACCCACAGGAAAACTGCAGAGGGGCTGAAGCTGGACAGTGGGTGGAATTTACGGGAACACGATCCTTTTGCCTCCTTGTCCTTTTCTTCCTCTTACCCATGCAGCACGTAGAAGCAGTGTTACTTTCAGAGGAGTGATCTGGAGAATAAAAGCAAGCTCACCCTGAGTGGAAAACGTGAACAACCTTGAAGGTCAGGACCCTTCCTAATGGCCAGAGTTAGGTCCATTCTTCCATTCCCCAAATCAGCAGAAAACTGCACTGCCCCAACATCCAAGCTCTACTCTGCCTTAGTAAGGCAGCCAGTGAGGGGTGCTGTCCTTAAGTTTCAACATGAGACCAATCAAGGAAACCATTGGTGGATATCCCGGCTTTGCTTGTCGTCTTACTGAGCATCACCTGCTGGCAGGAAAAGCCACCTCCATTGCTCTCCTTAATATGGTGGGTAAATGAAGGATAGAAGCCTGGGATAGAAGGTCGAGCCACTCTGTGTCCCAAAACCAGGGGCTGAAGCGGGAGACAGTCCACACGGAGAATCAGGAACGTCCTTGAGCTTCATTCCATAATCGTCTGCCACCCCTGCAAGCCATTCTCCAGGCTGTTTTCTAGGCATGGGTTTAGCATTTTTTCCAGAAGACAATCGAAGACCATGAAGGCCCAGCTGTGGGGTCTCAGGCAGAGCAGAGGATCTGCAGAGTGCAGTCAGCAAGTGCTGCAGAGATTGGCAGCACCCAACAACAGCCCATGGAGTAGGCAAAATGGCGCCCCTCCCTCTGATAAGAGCAGCAAAAAGCAAAATGTGAAATCCTGGTTGACAGAGGCAGCAGCAAACCCCGAATATGCTTGCTTGGGATGGAACTAGCAACACGGTCAACAACATCTGAATTGGGCAGGTGTGCGCTTTTGTATATTTTCCTTTTTTTGTATTATTTTGATAGTTCTACAGTTGGGTTTATTATTTTGAGAGCAAACTATGAATGAAGACTAGAATTCTTTGTATAATATAAAGGGCTAAGCAATAAAATAAAAACCAAAATTTGGTTTATTTTATGCGTGTATACTTTTGAGTGATGTTTCTAATCATGAGTCATCCAGGAACAAGTGGCACTCAATATGTCTTTCTTTCTCTTTCTTTTCTTTCTTTCTTTCTTTCTTTTTCTTTCTTTCTTTCTTTCTTTCTTTCCTTCCCTTCCTTTCTTCCTTTTCTCTTTTTCTTTCTTTCTTTTTCTTTCTTTCTTTCTTTCTTTCTTTCTTTTTCTTTCATTCATTCATTCATTCATTCATTCGATAAACAATTCCTTTCTTCAGTTTATTTACTTACTATTTGACTTATACATGACTAATAGGCCAGTGTTTCAATTCTACCCTTAATTGTACTGTTCTGGGTTTCAAAGGAAACTATCCAGAATAATTTAACCCAGGGACTTATCCTCACATCCTGCTAAGTGTAGCACAAAAATACCCTGTTGTTGAAGGACTTGACTGCAGGAAATTTAAAATATGAAATATGCCACTGCAAATAGGCTCTGCTTTCCAAAAGGAGGAAAATGCAGTGTCCTAAGACACAATAACAGTCTGAAAGGATATCAAGGCCTGTTCTCTTGTTCCCGAGTGCTGGACATGGAATGATGTATTGGAATTACAGGCAGATTACGATTCCTAGAAAAACATTAACAGTAAGGGCAGTTTGACCTGTTCCCCAGGGAGGTGGCAGGCTTCCTTCATTGGATGTGTTCAAGGGAGGCTGGACAGGCAGCTGTCGGGGATGCTTCAGTTTGGATCCCTGCCCTGAGCAAGGGATTGACCTCAACGGCCCTCCAACTCCAGAGTTCTATGATGGAGATATCAGACGTACTACCACCATGTCATTTTGTGGGCAATTACAATTAAATTCCACTCAGGCCTGGCCGTGCCGTTACTACAAGAGTTGAACTGAAGACCTGCGGTACTTTTGGTAGTCATCACCCGCTCCACTACAGCGTCCTTCGATTTGCTGCAGTCTCACTTAGTACTGAGAGCCAACGACTATCTTAGTATATTTTTTAAATCAAGGTAGCTTGTTTGGGCATGGCATGTTATGTAAATACAAACATTGTAGTCTGTGAATCTTGGGTTTAGCATACAGAAGGCTGCTAGACATACCTGAAAGTACCATCCTGCTAATTAAAAAGTCTCTCATACTATTGTATACCTGGAAGTAAAGCAGCATCTGTTATCAAAGACACGTGTTTCTAAAGGCCCACCTTGTACTGACAGAATATTCTCCACAGTGGGGAACTTATACAGTCTTCCAGGGAAAGGCATTTCATGCATCTGCTAAATGAGGAGATCATGCAGAGCATAAGTCTGTTAGTTTTAAATTGCTGCAAGATGTGTTACTGGTTTTGGCTGCAATGGAGTAACAAAGCAACAGCTTCCTGTTCTGGATGACAAGCTACATGCTTTGGACATAGGCAATGCCTGTTCACAATGAAACAAGTCGATTCCAAATGAGGGTGACTCAGTCCAAAACAGAATGGGGGGGAAAAAAACCCTAGAGAAATACCAATTGTTGTGCATATGGTTTATTGCAACTATTTACCTTTGCTGGTATAGTACACCAAACTTTATTGTAGTCAATGGAAATGACACTTTAGTACTAACTAATTTCAGATCAAGCCAAAAGCAGTGCAGAATGAGAGACTTTCTCTAACAAAAGAAACAAAAGTGGGAAAAGAACACACACCATCCTGTCCAAGTGGAATCTGGGCACCAAGTGAACGCCAGGCTCCTTCGGGCTGCCCCTTCCGTGCAAAGGGAAACACTGTTCCTCATTTCTCCCTTCCCCAGGAATTAGCACCGTAACTCCAAAAACAGCCACTGCACAGGGACTGACTACAGTAGGTTTCTTCCAACAGAACTGCTGCAAACGCCCTTCAGGGAAAGATTAAGAATGGCAACTGGAGGCAGGAACTGAATTACTTGCACCACGACCGATTCTCCGTCGAGGTTCTAATTAAGTGGACGCAGCAATCAGTACGCCCTCTATTGGCTGGTGCCTTACCTATGTCCGAAGAGGGGCAAAAAGCAGGCTGTAAAAGACTGGTTGCGCTCAGCCCCCTGCAGCCCCAGGCTGATCTTATTCAAAGCTCTCCTCTCAAGAGCAAAAGCAGCTGTGCGCCCTCCACCCAGCTGTGCTGTGCTGTGCTGTGCTTCTACAGTCCAATTGCAAGTCAGGTAAAAGGAGTCAGCCTGGCATAACCCACATCCTTTTAGCTAAGGGTACGTGATGCAATACTTCATTTTGGTATCAGCAAGCAAACAACATATGCTCATTTTTAATCCCTAACCCTCCCCGCTCCCCGGAAACAGATCGTGTTCGAACTAAAATAATTTATCTATAGCAGCAAAAACACAAAAGCAAACCCAATAAATCTAAAGGAGGAAGAATTTGCCCATTAGTAGAATCACTTGGTGTGAACCACTGAAGTACTGAACAGCAGCTTTTGCTTCTGCTTTTTTTTCTTGCCTCTTTTTTCCTCTGCAAAAAAAAAAACAGCCATCAGTGCTTTTCCAAGCAACTTTCATTTGAGCAGGACTGCTAAATTATTTGCAAGGAAGTTTCAGCCCTCAAGCATGATGGCAGTACTGATTGGTTCCCTTCCTACTTCTTCAGCCATCATTCCTAGGAAGCAGTGTTTGGGAAGGAAAAAGGTTGCAACCTACGATGTAAGTTCCATTACATCGACTGCATGTTGCGTGAAGACCCCAATTCTGTTTTACTGATAAAAAGTACAGCCTGAAAGTTCCAGGGCCCACCCTTGCCATCTCACATGTAGGTCTGGCTAAATATCATTTCCTGGCACCATTATGACTCAAACTCAACTCTGAGCCACACGTAGCCAGTAACTCCACTACCTGCTACTGCAGTACAAGCTGGCACTGCCACACCATCCTATAAAGTCTGATTCATACACTGTATTCTGCTGGAAAAACCCAAGGGAGGTATGACCAGGATGGCACAAAAGTGGGAACCACCAGGGAGCCATGACAGAGAGGCCCAGCTGCACCTACATTTCTGCACAGAACTAAAGGCTGGTTCCCTGTTCTTTTGCTTACCTAAGAGGTGGTCAGAAGTGGACGGTTTGTCCAGTTTGAGGAAGGCGGCCTCAATAGCTTGGCTGAACGAGTTCTGGAAACTAGGCACGGGCACACGGTCCGAGTTATCGCTCTCCCCATCGCTGTCTCCTGGAGCCGGACGTGCCACAGTGGTGGTCTCTTCTGAAAAATGCTGTTTTGAGATTCTGGGAAATGCTAAACAGACTTCTCACACCATCATAACGGAATAGCGACCACAGAGCTCCTCTCTGTTGGCTCGTCATTTGTCAGGAAAAGACTGAGATCTCTGCTTTTCAGGTTGCTCTGATTTTAGTATTTACGGCTCATTTGAATATTAGTGTTAATATTCAGATAATATTAACACTAACACAGAAGATAATAGTGTTTTATCGCTATCCTTGATTCATTTTATCTGTTTTTAATCTTATTGACAGAGGCTAACTTTTTTTGCATTTTATCACTATTGTTGGCTATTTCAAATGTGATGCATAAGAAAGGTAGGAGTATCAACTGAGATAGACCCTTCGCTGCACAATTATTTAGAAAGGCCTACTTTAGAAAGCTACTGTATATAAACCCCACACTCCCTCACACCGATGATGTTACCTAGTTGGGTGATGAAACATCTGCACGGAAACAACCAAGCTCAGAGAGCACCAAGGACTCCACAGAAAAGTCTAGACCAAAAGAATAATCCTGCTTACCTTTTTTCTTTGGCTGAGAACTATTCCATATTTCTGGTTTGGCTTTTCCAGCCCTCAGCATCTAAAAAGACACAAGATGGACTCAGAAACCAGACTATTCACCTCACAAGGTGATTTTTATTGATTTCATGATCAAATTGGATCATTGGATTACCAAGTGAGACATAAATCTTTTGCAGAATAATAAGGATGCTGGAGATAAATGAAATGATAAAGGGAATGATAATTTCTACACTTTAGATTTACTCAGCAGTGTAGGCTGCTTTATAATTCGAGTTCAGTCTCAACTCCTGGTCTCCATAAACAGGGCTTGTGAAAGGATCTAATGAGAAGAGAAGGTCTTGCCTACAGCAGCACGCACCTGGGCAAATGAGGGGAAGGCAGAGTCCTCCTCCAGACTTCCAATAAAGGATGTGGGACTGCCAAGGCCGGCAGATGACAATGGAGTCAACAAGGACTCTAGAAGAAACAAAGCCACACGTTGAACATAAGAATGAAGAGTTGTTACTAAAGTGGCAGGGAATAAGTTGCAGATTTTTGATACTGTGCCCTCGAAATCCCACTTTTATTACTATATTAACCCTCCTGGTTTTCCAGATGTGAGCATCCTGTAACTACTATTCAGCCCTCCTAGAGTTCCATCTTGCAAACATCTGCTGCTTTGCCTTTGAAAGTGTCTGGCGATCTTGCAGCTTCACTACTGTCCCCTTGGACATGCAGATGTTAAGAGCTGCCACCAACTGGCGGAGGAAGCAGAATTAAACAAGCCTTTAGACCAGTGTTAC